CCCAGTTAGAAATAGAAATAGGCCTGATCTGGATATGCAACACCTTTACATTCAAAAATGTTTGGAACCAGAGGTTTGGTTAAGGCCATGACAGCAACAGGAGACAGCCCCAGAATTTAGATCTAGGTTGGGATTTTGAACATCTCCCTCCATTACCACCTCAAAAACGCCAGGGATACAGGCATATCCCTGCTTATAAAAATCCCTGTCCACGCTGGTCAAGGAAATGGTGCTTCTCTCCAGAAAAGCATAGCCCAGAAAGTCACTGGGGAACTCACTGCCCCTGTGTCTCTTCCACTGCCATGCCAGGGTTGAAACAGAAATTGAGATGAGTCCCACGTGCATCCGGGCTATGGGGTAACAAGTAGAATCCAAAGTGGACTGGAAATGGTCCAACGTACGATCAGCTGAAGCTATAGCCAATTGCATTCATGGGGTTAAATCCATGGGGCGAAACTCCCATTAGTTTCAGTGGGTCCAGGATTTCATCCATGTGGTTTTATTTATGGTGGCCGATATAAGAGGTCAGGGGAGGCTAAGCCTCCCCAAACAGGATTCAGTGCACCTCCCTCTGGAGGTGGCCTGCCGTCTTTGGAGTACCGCCACCGCCAAAAGGGCACCTGGGCCATAACCCCACTCGTGCTCGGCCCCGAGGCTCCACTCCCACTTGTCCTCTTCCCCTGTTGCCCCACCCACGCTGCTTCTCTTCCTGCCCTTGCCCCGCCTCTTCCTCCCGAGGTCCCGCCCTCGCTCCACCTCTTCCCACGAGGCCCCGCCAATTGTGCCTCTCCGCCCCCTTCCCCGAGGCCCCGCCCGCCGCTCCTCAGCAGGCAGGGGAGGCCTCAGGGGAGGGGGCGAAGAGGCAGGAGCAGGCAGGGATCTCGGGGGAGGGGGCCGAGTGGGAGCGGGGCCTGGGGCAAAGGGAGGTGGAGTGTTGGTGGGGCCTCAGGGGGAGGAGGCTGAGCAGGGACCGGCCTTGGAGTGGAGCAGGGGGCGGGGCCATGGTCTGGGCATCGGTGGCCCCTCCCATTTCCAGCACTCACACCCTAGCCTCCCCAAATGCATGAGTCACACGCATGGTTTTTATTCCTGATTTAGCTCCAGTGGAAGGAGTCTTTCCTGGTCTTGGCTTAGACCATGAATATTCCTCCTGCCTTCCCCACTCCATTTAATTCTGGAGGAAGGAGATTCACCGATTTGCTCCAGAGCTGACCTAGAAATGGGTTCTGCCTCTCTCTGATTGTGTGTGTCTCTCTCTCTGTATCTGCATCATTCTCTAGTCAACGTGACTCTGGATCCGGAAACAGCAAATCCCCACCTCATCCTGTCAGAGGATGGGAAAAGCGTGAGACTCGGAGCGGGGCGGCTGGATGTGCCTGCCAATCCCAAGAGGTTCATGTCGAGCCCCTGTGTCCTGGGCTCTGAGGGATTCACAACAGGGAGACACTATTGGGAGCTGGAGGTCGGAGATGGGGATGGCTGGGCTGTGGGGGCTGCCAGAGAGTCTGTGGAGAGAAACAGGCCATCAACGCTTCAGATGAAAGGGATTTGGGCTGTACGTCTGGGCTGGGATCGTCAATACGCAGCTCTCACTTTCCCCCCGACCCCTCTCTCACTTGACGAGAAGCCCAGGAAGATTCGAGTTCACTTGGACTACGAAGAGGGGCAAGTGACCTTTTACAACGCAGAGAACATGGCCCAAATCTTCAACTTCTCTGCCTCTTTCAAGGAGAAAATCTTCCCTTACTTTTGGCTCTGGTCCCCAGAAGCATGCATCCAGATGTGCCCCTGATGGTATCAAGTTTCTTACAGTGGCTCTCACATGAGAACTCCTGCACACTTGGCTGCAGCTGGAGAAAGAGAGGATTCATTAAAATAACGCTAGCTAATCAAACGCTCGGAAATGATCTGCTTGTATTTCTCATTGCAGTAAGTTCCTCTGCACTCGTTACCCATAGCCTTGGGCTGGATCATCTCCTTTGTGTATTGCCATAAAACTGTGGTGTCTACTGGATGTTCTCTACTGCCCCTTTAAGTGTCTCTGCCAGGTTTTCACCACAAACTTCATAGCTTCACTCTGCTAGCACACTGATGTCAGTCCGGGGTGTGATGAGGTGTAATTTGTGACCCGCATAGCTGTGCTGGCAAAAGCCCGTAGTGTAACTGCAGCTATACTTTCAAATGTGCACTTTTACCACTATAGGTAAGGCTAAGATGTTGTCACGGTTATTTTTAGTAAAAGACAGGGACAGGTCTTGGGCAATAAATAAAAATTTACAGAATCCCATGACCTGTCCCAGACTTTCTTTAAAAATAACTGTGACAACAGGGGACTGAGCCGGAGCCCTGCTGCAGGAGAGGAGGGATGGAGGTCCAGCACCCACCACCACTGTGGCTGACAGCTCTGGGGTCCCCCCAGTAGTGAAAGCTGCATGGCCCCCACCCCCTGTGGCAGCTGAGAGCTCCAGTGGCCCCCTGTAGCAGCTGAAAGCTGCAGGGGCCCGTGCTGGCTGACAGTTCCAGCCCCGCCATCCCACGGTGGAAACAGAAAATGTCACGGATTCTGTGACTTCCATGACCTAATCTTAGCTTTAACTATAGGTTATGTCGATCAGAAGGGCTACAGTCATCTATGCCAACCAAGGCACAGTTTTGCCAGGATAAGCTGTCCATACTAGGAGCGCTTTGCTGGTATAAGACACCGGTATTCTTACGCCAGCAAAGCCTTCCAAGTGGGAGCCTGGCCTAAGAGCTCTGCCTTTTTGCAGTGACAGCAGCCATTTTGTCCCTAGAATTGCTGCAGCCTGTTACAAGAGAGAGACAAACTTAATTCCTACTGCGAGGGGGTTGCAAATCCTGTTTCTAGGGCACTCTGTGGGTTCTGAGCCTTCATGATTTACATCTATTTGAGACGTTGGGCAAGTTACCTGCAACAATGGTTTTTCTAAAAAAAGGTTAAGAAAAACAAAAAATTAACAGAGTTCTAAAGGGAGTGAATAAAAATCCCTTCCCTTCTGAATTAATCATCTTTCCTTTCCTTTCCTTTCTCTAGTATCATAAATCTTGTAGTTCTCCAGTCAGCCATAGAGTCTCCCAGGGTAAAGACCTACATTTCTGATGTAAAAGAAAACTTTACTGGCCCACTATATACATCATAAAGATGCACAATCAAAAGGGCACAAGCCCAGTATTTTTTCTTTGCATGGAAGGAGTTAAAGTAAGGTGTGCTAAGTCAGTGGTACTTCAATGACAGGAATGGTGGATTTAAAAAAAAAAGGGTAAGTAATTGTTGGTGTGAATTTTCTAGTCTGGATTGTGCTCCATCTAGACTTATTCAAGCCTGTTTTAATTCTGACTTCCTAAATGGTCATTTTGAATAGTGTGTAAGGGATGAGGGTGTAGGTGGTTTGGCCTAACAGTCACAGCTGGGCTGTTTTTCACAAATCAAGAACAGCCATGAGGTGGTGATCAGTGAGCAGGGATCAGAGTAATCCCTAGAGCCGGGCTCAATAGGTAAGAGTCAGGCCGGAGTCGGAGATCAGAGATAGTTACTAGACTGGAATCAGAAGGGTTAGGGGCAGAAAATGGAGATCAGCAGGCGAGGTCAGGTCAAGAGTCACAGCAATCCAGAAGTCTGCATGGTGGCCCAGACAACTTCCTGGGGCACTCCCCATGGTTAAATAGTGAGCATGGGCCAATCAGAAGGCCACAGGGTGCTGTCACTCTGGTCCTTTTGGGCAGTACTTCCTGCTGCACCTAATCTGCACAGTGCTTCTTGGATATAATGCTGCATGGCCTCCCAGTGGCGATGTGGGAACATCAGCTGTCCCAGGTTCTAGTCCCATGGATCCTCACATAATGATTCAGCAGGTGGTACTCCCTCCTTGGGGACTGTACTGAAGCAATGGCCCAGCGGGTGCTGTCCTTTGGATAAAGTGAGGTCCTGATTAACGGTGGTCATTAAAGATCCCTTGGCATGGTTTGCAGGTGTATGGGTGCCAGCAGTGGTTTCGTGGCAAACTTTCAGTTGGAGTAATTACATCTTCCCTAACTCCCATAGGCACTTAGGCCAGGTCTACACTACAGACTTATATCGGTATAACTACGTCACTCAGGGGTGTGAAAAATCCACACCTCTGAGCAACGTAATCATACTGACCTAACCCGCGTGTAGACAGCACTACGTCAGCGGGAGAGCGTCGCCCATCAACATAACTACCGCCTCTTGCGGAAGTGGAGTAACTACACCAATGGGAGAAGCTCTAATGTTGGCATAGGAGCGTCTTCACATAAGTGCTACAGTGGTGCAGCTGCATCGGTCCAGCTGTGCCGATGAAGGGTTTTCAGTGTAGATCTGCCCTTAGCTATCTTGGCAATGGGTACCTTCGAAATGTCTGAGAGTGAGTTCAAATTCTCCTTGCAGTTTCAGTTAGAGCAGTGGTTCTCAACCAGGACTCCCTGCGGGGTCGCGAGCAGGTTTTAGGGGGTCCTCCAAGCATGGTCAACATTAGACTCGCTGGGGCCCAGGTCAGAAAGCCAAAGCCCCACTGCCTGGGGCTGAAGCCTGGGGCTCTGAGCCCCGCCACCTGGAGCTGAAGCCAAAGGCTGAGCAACTTAGCTTCGCAGGGGCCCCTGAGGCATGGGGCACCAGGCAGTTGCTACCCCATAACGCCAGCCCTGGCTTTTATATGAGAAAACCAGTTGTTGTGGCCTAGGTGGGCCGTGGAGTTTTTATAGCATGTTGAGGGGGCCTCAGAAAGAAAAAGGTTAAGAACCACTGAGTAAGAGAACAGTGAAATAGCTGCCACAAGATACTTCATCCCCAGAGTGTCTCTCTACATCCATCGGGGGAGAAGGAATAAGAGAGTCACATGAGACTAAGGTGGTTTAGTAAATTAATTATGGGGGGAAATTTTTGGCTACTGCAAAGATGACACCAATATTGTACGTAAAGGTCATTCTGCTGGGAGCCTGGGTGTCTCAGGGAACTGATAATGGACATGGTACTCTTCAGCCTCCGTGTCACTGGCTTGAATCACGACTGCATCAGTAAGGTCACCCGCTGATGGCTGTTTGGTGGCCTATGCAAAACGAGTTGATGGGCCAAATATCAGTGGACCAGCTTCCATCAGAGTTGGCTCTAAAGGCGAAGGACTAGAGGAAGGAGAGTCTAGTGGCTAAGATGCAAACTGGAGACCTGAGTTCAGTACTCTGCTCGGCGACAGATTTCCTTTGGGGCAAGTCACTCAGTGCCCCATCTGTAAAACAGGCCTAATGGTACTTCCCTACTTCCCCGGGGGAGTTCTGAGGATAAATATGTTAAAGATTATGAAGTGCTAAGATAACAGTGATGGGAGGCCAGATAAGTACATGCAATAGATAGAAAGACTCCATGAGGCACAGAGATGTAATTAGCCTTTCAATCCAAGATGTGGTCCCCTCAGGAGCAGGACTGAAGCATGTCAGCAGGGCGGGGATGAGGGGAAGTTGGCGGTGCTGCTGCCTGGGCTATGCACACAGATTGTCTGTCAGTTTCTAGGGCTGCTAATCTGGTTCCTTTCACAGGCCCCCAGTGCATACCCAATATTATTTTAGACCTCCCTCTCTCCTTCTCTGCTTATGCTTTTTAACTGGTTTGTAGCTATAGTTAAAAAAAAAATCAAACTATGCATTTGGAGCTCGTCTGTCAGCCCTTTGAGATTGAAAATGCTTTGAACAAATCAAGCCACTTTCATTCCTCAGAGGTTTGAGCATTGGTCTGCTAAACCCAGGGTTGAGAGTTCAATCCTTGAGGGGGCTATTTAGGGAATCTGGGGCAAAAATCTGTCTGGAGATTGGTCCTGCTTTGAGCAGGGGGTTGGACTAGATGACCTCCTGAGGTCCCTTCCAACCCTGATACTCTATGATTCTATGATTCAGTTCCCCATCAACTTGGTCATCAGTGACATGGGCCTGTGCCATCCGCAGAGGGCTGAGGCTGTATATCTAAAGGTCTATATTAGAAACTTACCTCGGTGTAACTACATCCCTCCAGGGTGTGAAAAATCCTTTCTCCTGAGCAACATAGTTATACCAACCTAACCCCCAGTGTACACAGCGCTACACCAGAGAATTCTCCTGCTGACATAGCTACCGCCTCTCGGGGAGGTGGATTAACTATCCCGACTGGAGAAGCTTTTCTGTATTTCATTTCACAGACATGCCAAACCCGTGGAAAAAAACGCAGAAATTGGGCTTGTTTTTGGCTTAATTGGCTTGTGAGTTTCTTGTTGGCTAGTTTTTGGCTTGTTGCTTGTTGTAGCTTGTTGCTTCTTTTTTTTTTTAATCGGCTCCTGGCAAGGGGGGGCAAGCAGCGGCAAGCAGGGGCAAGAGGGGCAAGGGGGGAGAGAGTCAGGGGTGCACAGCAGGCCCACCACAGCCCCAGGCTGCAGGCCGGGGGGATCTAGTCACATAGAGTGTTGGGGTTCTCAGGGATTGGCTGGTTTTGGCCTTGTTTTGAAATGGGATTCGCTTGATTTCTGGCGTATTGTGAAAGTCGGGGTGTTTATTTACCTCATGAAAATTGGCAACTGTGTTTACTTTGTGTATTTTGTTTGAAAGTGCCATCTAGTGGCTGATGTCGGTAATTGTAGCTCTTGGGTCACAAGGAAGTCATTGAGGAGGCTCGGCACCTTGCAGTCTCTGGCTTTATGCTCTAGCACAGGGGCTCTCAACCTTTCCAGGCCACCGTACCCCTTCCGGGAGTCGGATTTGTCTGGCCTACCCTCAACCTCACCTCACTTAAAAACTGTTTGCTTACAAAATAAGACATCAAAATACAAAAGTGTCACAGGACGTTATTACTGAAAAATTGCTGATCTCATTTTCACCATATAATTATAAAATAAATC